CCTTAACAGCAACCCAGTAGGGTTTTGAGCACGGCTGCATGTGAGCTTCTTCAGGTTCAGCGGCATAGTAAGCTGGCTACTGTCCGTAGTAAGCCCGTAAACAAAATTTCCTCCTGGCCGCTTGCCAGGAGAACTCTCGCTTGGCTCAAGAGAACAAGAGGCTCCAAAAGGAGCTGGACGAGTACCTCGGCGTGCAGGGGAGATGTTTAGAACACTTCGAAAGATGTGCCTAAAAGTGTCGCGACACGTGCCGATGTCTCCAGGGCTCGCGCAAATATCCGTCACCTTCAAGGACGCTCTGCCCAAGATGATGTCAGGGACCAGATTCAGCCAACTTATCATTTGTACATGCGATGACTTCTCTTCTTATGCTTGCGTAGATCCTTTGCCTTTTTCGCCAGGATTGCTCGACCAGAGCAGGTCGACGATGGAGCGGCTGAAAAGTGCGAGCCCCAGACGCGATGCTTGGACTGCATGCAAACTTTGCGAAAGCACAACAAAGAGCAACAGAAATTGACAGCAGGAGGCCGAAGGTAGCCGGGCATGCCTTAAGTGCCCCCAAGTCAGTCTTGGGACAATGCACTTTTCAAGGCGCCCGCTTAAGCGTTTCGGAGGCGCCTGGAGCGGAGGCGAACACGGGTATACTGCAAGCCAACATTGAAATGTACCCTTTAATTCGTTTTGAGTGACATGGAAACTGCCAGGCTTTCCAGGCTGTCCGTGATGACATGGAGAAGGACTCTGACAAGATGGGCACAATGGATAGCCACAGAGATTCCTGGGTTCTCTGTTTAAATCGAAGAAGGCTCGAAGTGTACCGGCATGTAGCGCAACACTGAATGGCCAGGAGATGGGTGAGCTCCGCCAGCGGCAACAAGATCTTGGCCCCAACCTTGGGACGATTCAGACATTTTTGCTGTCTCCCAACCTGCGGCTTCTTGCTGGCCGCCGTCAATTCAGCAAGCTGGAAGACTTGCTTTCTCGTCTACAACATTGCTGGGCAGAGAAACAGCACTGGCATCGGGTAGCAGAATCAGCAACAAAGTATGGGGCATCTTCAGCATCTTCACACACATGATTGGCTGAGGCAGAGATCGTGAAAGCTGGCTGCAGGAGCAGAAGTGGCAACCAAGTGGACTCAGATGTGTGGTGACTGAAAATGATATAATCTTTGAATACGTGTGGGCTCAGATACAGTAATACAAGTAAAAATTACTGGAAAGAATGTTCATTATAATACTGTTGATGGAAGAAATCTTGCACCACCTTAAGTCCCCAAAGTCCTAGGAATTACAGTGGTCTAGGGCCCCTAGGGGTGGTGCAAGATCTCATCCATCAACAGCAACCAACCCTAAACCCTAGACCCCAAACCCTAAAACCCAAAGTATAAGTCGCTTCAGCTTCGCGGGCAGGAGCGCGAGTCTCTGCTCCGGCAGCTGGAGGAGGCCGCGGAGAAGCAGGAGCGCTCCGAGGCCCTGGACATGCGTGCTTTGGGTTTCAGGGTTTAGGTTTCAGGGTTTAGGGTTTCAGGGTTTAGGGTTTAGGTTTCAGGGTTTCACGCTTTGGGGTTTTAGGGTTTGGGTTTTAGGGTTTAGGGTTTAGGGTTTAGGTTTCAGGGTTTAGGTTTCAGGGTTGAGGGTTTAGGCTCCAGGGTTTAGGGTTTGGGTTTAGGTTTCAGGGTTTAGGTTTCAGGGTTTGGGATTTTAGGGCTTGGGTTTTAGGGTTTAGGGTTTAGGGTTTAGGTTTCAGGGTTTAGGTTTCAGGGTGTAGGGTTTA